CACTCCGTCAAAATTCATGTATAGTTTCCAATACTCTACTTGAAACCTTTATATGGTTCCAATCAGGGTATATAAAGCCCTTTTTCTCGTTCTTAATACCGTTTTTTCCAATAGAATCCATGATATTTCTTCAAGATAGCTCTTAATACTGCACCCGAATCCATATTTAGCTTCTGATACTACATTTGAAACCATTATATTGATCTAGTCAAGGTATCAGAATCTTTATATGATCTCTGATACTACTACGTACTAGGAATTACCTTCTTACATATAATTCTTAATGCTGAACACTTTCAGTTCTCACAAAATATACTCTTATTTTATCGGCCTTGAAACCTTTGAAAAATACTGATACTTTTACTGATAATATAAACCATATTCCTCTCTCCTTCAAAGTATAGCCTGTCACTAAATGTTTCAATCGTGCAAGTCACTTTATAAGCAATGTTGCACAGAGGCTGTAATCTAATCATAAAAAATATACTTATAATAATCACTGTTTTGCACGTTATCGCCCGTCTCCAATCAACATATTTCAAAATTATTTGCTATTAATGGATATGTAAAGATATGTAAAGTATATGTAGTCTTTTAAGTAGCCATCCGATATTGGAACCATGGGACTCTGTCTGTCTGTCTGTCTGTCTGTCTATCTGTCTGTCTGTCTGTCTGTCTCTCGCTCGCTCGCTCGCTCTCATACCCCTTCCCTCTCTCTTTCTCTCGCTTTCTCCCTCCTCCCCTCCCCCTATCTCTCTCTCTCTCTCTCCCCCTTCCTCCCTCCTCCCCTCTCTCTCTCTCTCTCTCCCCCCTCTCTTTCTCTCTCTCTCTCTCTCTCTCTCTCTACGCCCCACCTCTCCCTCTTTCTCGCTCTCCCTCCCTACCTCCTCTCTCTCTCTCTCTTTCTCTCTCTCTCTCTCTCTCTCTCTCTCTCTCTCTCCCTCCCTATCTCCCCCCCTCTCTCTCTCTCCCTCCCTATCTCTCTCTCTCTCCCTCTCCCTACCTCCCCCCTCTCTCCCCCTTCCCCCCTTCCCCCCCTCTCTTTCCCTCCCCCCTCTCCTTTCCTCCCCCCTCCCCCTCTATCTCTCCTTCATCCCCCCTCTCCTCTCACCCCCCCCTCTCTCTCCCTCTCACCCTCTTCACAAACCAACGACCCTGATCCCTTTCTGTGCAAGACAACTAATAAACGTTCTTTTTACGCCAAGATATTCCTGCCTTGCATAGCTGTGTACATTGTAATATATAATAATTGTCATAATTGTACACCTTGGAATGACTCCTTCTCTCCGTTGGCTTTTACCCCCCTCCCCCCCCCCTCCCCCCCACATGAGACTATTCTTGCTGTTGTATTAATAGTTTGTTTGTCGTCCTTGTTTTTATTTATTTATTTATTTATTTTTTATTATTATTATTTTTTTTTTGAGGTAACGTTACAGCCATGTTATGATGTTGTATCCTTATCTCTTTCTTTTTTCTCTCTTTTTTTTTCTCTTCTCTCTGTCTCTTTCTTTTCTTTACCTTTTTTTTATTTGTATCTCCTTCTTCCACCCATTTCTTCTGTGCTTCTTCTTTTTTATATATATTTCTTCCTCTTTCTTCTCCATTTCCTCTTCTTTCTTTTCTTCTTCTTTCCTCTATATTTCTTCTTCTTTCTTCTGTTCTACCTTCTTCTCCTTCATCTCCTTTTCTTCATCCTCCTCCTTCATCCTCCCTTCCTCTCCCTCTGCTCCTCCTATTCATTCTCTAATTCATTTTCTTCATCCCCTCCTCTTCCTCTTCCCTCTTCTCTACTTCTCTCTTCTCCTCTCCTCCTTTTTCTCTACCTTCTCTATTGCCTCTTCCCCTCTTCCTTCTCCACCTCCTCTATTCCCTCTTCTCCTTCTCCTCCTTCCACCTCCTTTATTGCCTCTTCCTCTCCTCCCTTTCCACCTCCTTTATTCCCTCCTCCCCTTCTCCTCTCCTCCACTCCTCCCCTTCCACCTCCTTTATTCCCTTCTCCTCTCCTCCTCCTCTCCTCCTCCCCTTTCACCTCCTTTATTCCCTCCTCCCCTCCTCCTCTATTCCCTCTTCTTCCCCTCCTCCCCTTCCACCTCCTCTATCCCCCCCCCCCCCCGCCCCACTTTCGTCGCCTCCCATCGAGTTAATCGGCGATGTAGTTATCTCGCCTCGTCTTCACAAACATCTCTTGAAGACAATAAACTTTACTTCCTCTCGACCAGTTTAAATAACCTTCCCCCCCCCCTTACCCTCTTTCGGTGCACCCCCCCCCCCCCTTACCCTCTTTCTCAATCTGTTCTCCTCTCTCCTCCGTCTATGTCTTCCCTCTTTCTATCCCTTCTTCTGTATTATTTCGGCACCTTTCTTTCTATATCCCTCTCTGCTTCTTTTTCTCTTATCTTCCTTTTTCTCCTTCCCTCCTCCTCCTCCTTCCTTCCTCCTTCCTTCCCTGCTCCTCCTTCCCTCCTCCTCCTCCTTCCCTCCTCTTCCCTCCCTCTTCCTTCATTCCCTCCTCCTCCTTCCCTCCTCCTCCTCCTTCCCTCCTCTTCCCTCCCTCTTCCTTCATTCCCTCCTCCTCCCTCCCTCCTCCTCCCTTTATTTTTCCCCTCTTTCCTTCCTCTTCCCGATTCTTCTTTACCTTCTTACCCCCCTATTCCTCTCCCCCCCCCCTCCCGAGTGCCTCCCCCACAACAATGCTATTTTACTTTGGTATTTTTTCCTTCTTTATACCTCCCCCTCCCCCTATTTCCTTCCCCTCCCCCCCTCCATACCCTCTTTAATATCCTCTCCCTCCTTCCCCCTCCCCCTGCCCCTCCCCCTCCACCCTTCCCTTCCTTACTCTCCCCCTCCCCCCAACCTCCTCCATACCCCCCCCCCATCACACATTCTCACCTCGTAATGCAAAACAAAATATAAAAAAAAGAACGAAAATAAATTAAAAGATAATGATAACCTCACCCCCCCCCCCCACGCAAAAAAGCAAAAAAGACAAAAAAAAGAGATATATTTAGAGAGACAAAGAAAAAAAACGAAAACAAAAAAAGAAAGAAAAAAAAAAACAAGTAACAAAAACAAAAACAAAAAAAGAATCTTCTCTCTCATAGCAACTAAATAATAATAATGACAATAAAAAAGGAATTAATGAGCAGATAAGTCTCTTATGGAAATCATAATCAAAGAGTTAATTCGAAAATATAATCGCAGTGCCCTGGTTACTCACAAGGACTTCATTAAGTACAAACAGCTCGAGTTATTAATTAATAAACATGTCAGGGAGGGGGTGGGAGAGGGAGGGAGGGAGAGAGGGAGAGAGGGAGTGGGAGAGGGAGAGAGGGAGTGGGAGAGGGAGAGGGTGAGAGGGAGTGGGAGAGAGGGAGTGGGAGAGGGAGTGGGAGAGGGAGAGGGAGAGGGAGAGTGGGAGAGGAAGTGGGAGAGAGGGAGAGAAGGAGTGGGATTGAGGGAGTGGGAGAGGTAGAGAGGGAGTGGGATTAAGGGAGTGGGAGAGGGAGAGAGGGAGTGGGAGAGGGAGAGAGGGAGTGGGATTGAGGGAGTGGGAGAGGGAGAGAGGGAGTGGGATTGAGGGAGTGGGGGAGGGAGAGAGGGAGTGGGATTGAGGGAGTGGGAGAGGGAGAGAGGAAGTGGGAGAGGGAGAGAGGAAGTGGGAGAGGGAGAGAGGAAGTGGGAGAGGGAGAGAGGAAGTGGGAGAGGGAGAGAGGGAGTGGGATTGAGGGAGTGGGAGAGGGAGAGAGGGAGTGGGAGAGGGAGAGAGGGAGTCGGAGAGATAATTGGAGGGGAAGAGATTGATAGCAAGAGAGAGAGAGAGAGAGATAGAAAGAAAGAAAGAAAGATAGATAGAGAGAGAGAAAAAAAAGAGAGAGAGAAAGAGAGAAAGAGAGAGGGAGAAAGATAGACGGATAGATAGATAGATACATAGATAGAGATAGAGAGAGAGAGAGAGGGAGAGAGAGAGAGAGAGAGAGAGAGAGAGAGAGAGAGAGAGACGAGAGAGAGAGAGAGAGAGAGAGAGAGAGAGAGAGAGAGAGAGAGAGAGAGAGAGAGAGACTTAAATAGAGAATGAAAGAAAAAGAGTGATCCATAGTTAGAGACGCGGATATACTTTTCCCTCTCCCACTCTCTCTCCCTCTCCCTCTCCCTCTCCCTCGTCCCTTTCTCCTCCTTCCTCTCCTTCTACCTTTCCATATCTCGTCACACACACAGGGAAAGGGGTAGCGATTGAGAGGGAAAGAGGAAAAGAGAGAGAAAAAGAGAGAGAGAAAGAACGAGAGAGAGAGAGAAAGGGATAAACAGAAAGAGAGAGAGAGAGAGAGAGAGAGAGAGAGAGAGAGAGAGAGAGAGAGAGAGAGAGAGGAGAGAGAGAGAGAGAGGAGAGAGAGAGAGAGAGAGAGAGAGAAATGACAGAGAAATGACAGAGAGAGAAAGAGAGAGAGAGATGTGATTGAGAAAAGGACAAGAGAAATAAAAATGAAAAAGAAACAAGAAGAGAGAAAAAAAAGATAAAGAGACAGTTAAAAAAAGTAAGCGAAAGAGACAAGAAGTGACAAAAGAAGGATTTAGAGAGAGAAAGAGAACAAAAAAAGAAATAATGAACATGTTTAGAACACAGATCAGAAAATTCAGAAGACCGACTTAGTGAAAAGAGCTCTTGTATAAATCACTTGCAAATCATGGTCTTGCAGCGAAGTCAAGGATTCAAAACTGAAATTACAGAAGAATGATTTAGTTAAAAACAACAACAACAACAAACGAAAAAAAAATCTGTATGTGGCAGATTCATCAACTTATTTTTTCTGAAATAAGAGAGAGACAGAGAGAGATGGAGAAGGAGAGAAGTCATCGTGGGGGGGGGGGGGGGGGGGGACCTCTCTCTCTCAGCCTCTATTTCTGCCTCCCCACCTTCTCTCTTTCTTTCTTTCTTTTTCTCCCCACCCTCTCTCTGCTCTTCTGTCTCATTCTCTCTCTCTCCTCTCCTTCCTTCTTTCCCT